GACTGCATTGATGCTATATAAGCCATAGTGATGTCTGGGACGAGTAAAACTTTGTTTAAAGACTCCCTCATTTTCTTAGAGAAAACTAGAGCATTATAAATACTCAGTTTTTTGTGCAGCTTTTTGAGATGTACTAAGACGTTATAATAAATGCTAGGATCTTATGGATTTCATACATTTGAATATTAAACTAGTTTATGTTTATTTATAGTCTCTAAATTGTTTATAATTTTCTTTCCTTTACCAGTAGCTGAAGCTTGTGAAGGCAGAACATTACCACTATGAAGGTTAACTTCAACTACCACTTCGAGAGAGGAAATATTGGATTGGTTTTCTTCTTGATCATTGATTGTCTTTTCAGTTTTCTCTAATAGACTATCTAAATCAAATATCTATAATTCAATGTTTATATCACTCTAAAAATTGAGAATAGAAGAATTTAAACACAAGATGTTTTTAAAAGGGTTTTAATATTTTTTTTAACAATTTTTATTTTAAATTGATAAGTTTTACTTTTGAGTGATTCGAACCCCTCCCTTTTCTCTTTTGGAGTGAAATATGGCTGAGATCTAAACTAATGATTATTCTACGGTCTATTAAACTAATAATACCTAATAGGTTGACTTGTATTTTCAACCTGAATCTATATCACTTACTTTCCCTTATTAATTGCACACACTAATACTAATTTCTTTTCTAATACTTTTGAGACTTAGAAATTTTTATATCTACTAAAAATTGATATTTTAATAATGAAAGCAAAGAAGCTTCCTCTTTAAGATTAGAGGCTTTGCTCAATAAATTTTCAAAAGTTTTAATTATAAAATTGTTGAGTCAAAAAGACACTATACCATCGATATTTTTTAGAAGGATATATATAGAATATTGTTCTTACAACTGTTGCTGACATCTCATGCTAAGGTTCCTCAATCTTAGGATGTAATAAATTAAGCTTTCACCTTATTTTTATTTTTCCACTATCAAATCCCTGGCGGTGATATGGTGTTTCCCTCCTCTGAATCTATTCATAATCATGGTTTCCAACTCATTGAAGGTATGAACTGGCCCATTAGGTAGTTCAATATATTAACAAAATGTAATACTAGAAAGAAATTATGTTGATAAATTCTTTGAACAATATTGTATCAATGCCTCCAGCATTACAATAATTAGCTCTAAAATGTGCAAGATGTTATTTGGGATACTAGTCCCATCAACATTTTTGAATTAAGGAGGTACAAATCCTTTTTGATAGGCAATCAAGTCATATCCTTCTGGGAATGGTCTACCCATTAAAATAGATAAAGTATCTTCAGACTAAGTAAGGCCTTATTTTCCTTATTATTCTACCATTTTCTTTATATTAAGAGACTGAGTTGATTATTTTTCAAACTTGAATAGTTTATTATCTAATAGTTCTTAATTCACTTTATTAGTTTTGATCATCTATATTGACTCATCAGGTAGTGACTCAATCTATGCATTTGATATAGGAGAACATTTACTCTAGATGGCAACAATCAAAGCCTTCATCTCTTCTATATTCTTTTCCATCCTTAGAATTTATCCATCCTTTTGATTTTATTGTTATATGAGATGTTGAGTTGAATATTCTGAATCACCTTCATCAACTTTAGCATCTATGAATTTTTCTTTACAATTAGCTATTTATTGTTGTCGCTATAAAGAAAAATAAGTATCTACCATATTTATACTCCCATATATTTCTTTATCTTGCAAATTTACTTCTACCTTCTCTATAGCTTCTTGTTCATTTATCCATCTGATACTATCTTTAAGTGATCCATATTTTTTTAGATTATCTTCCTATCACATTATGAGGATCAACTATTTTATATTCTCTAAGAGATAAGGATTCAGCTACATCTTTTTCTTTTTGCCTTCTTTTATTCACTATACTATTTTTATGAGTGATGAGAATTGTTAAAGTGGTAACCATTTTAGTCCACAAAATCTTCTTCTTGTCAAATAATAAGACAAGATGATTGATTAATTTTGATCTCTTATCAAAGAAAAAAGATGATTCGCTACCCTATAAATGACATCAGTCAACCCTTGGTAAATGATGACCAAAAGAGTGACCAGAAGTTCTTCTTGGAAATTTTTAGATTGATTAGAAGACGGATGAGATGCAGGATTATATCCTCATTATACTAATGCAATATACCCCAAAGATTGATAGGAGTTTGTTGACTTTTATTATTACTAGATTATATCACTTAATGATTGACTACCATGAGGTTCTTCAACCCCTGATGATAGTCAATTGTGAATGTTCGTGAAAGTTATTAAACCTTTAAAAACAAGCCAGAGATTAACCAAGAGGGCTGAATTGGAAATTTAAAATTTTCCTTAAATAAAAAGAAAATCTCTTTAATTTTTTTAATATTTGAAAACAAACTAATTTATCACTTGATATGAAAGTAAATTAATTTTTCATTAACAAAATGATCAAGGTTTTCAACCACACAACTAATTAGAGAGAAATAAAGTGTAGAAAATAATAAGAACAAACACACCATAATTTATAGTGGTTCATTCCAACCTAACCTATGTCTACTCCTTAGAAACCTTCATTCCAGGTATTGCACTAAGACTAGTGTCTCCATTTTGCCTCCATAGCAAGGCATAAAAGCCCTTATAAAATCTTTTTAATCAACTGAATGCAGTAGATAATCGAAAGCTTTTCACACCCTCGAAGTGATGGTAGCATACCTAAAAGCTTTCACACCCTCCTTCTAAGAGAAGATATAGTACCTTGAATCTTTCGTTTTCAAACTCTATGTGATGGAGGAGAACCACGCCTTAGTGCTATAAAAAATCTCCCCGAAGCTACCAATTAATCAAGGTAGAAACTTGAAGGAGATAGATAAGAACCTTACTTAGAGTAACCTTGTTAGTCCCTCATAACTCTCCCACACAAAAAGCTATCCCTCTCTTCTCTAACAAAGCTCTCCTAAACTCCTTCTCTATTCTCCCTCTCAAGATACATAGAAGCAAAAACGCTTTTTCAAACAAGATAATGTGAAAATTTAAATAGAAATCCTCTCAAGTAAACCTAAATTACAATCTGTCTTTTAAGATTATCTAGTACAATCCTACAATCATCTTATATGATTAGTACAAAATATCCCATTTAGATAATATGGACTCCATTGTCTTGTACAATCAATTCAAGAGTTTATAGTAATCGTCAAGTTTGATAGGTGATGATAAATTATCAACCCATGTAGCGCTCGGTTCATACAATATGAAATTGGGGGCTCATTTTGTACTATTAGTTAAAAAACTATAGTATTTTTTCTTGTTTAATAGGCAATGATAAATTATTGTCCCATGCATCACTCGAGTCATACAGTTTGATCAACGCCAATCATCCTATATAATTTGAACAAATTAACCAAAATTGTTCCCCTAATCAAAGGATCAATTTATGCCTAATTGATATATATTGTACAATATGAAGCATCATATCATATGGTACTATTAGAACAAAATTTGAATTTTGAATATTGCCTAAGTTGTGATTGGCAGCTTTTTTCATGATTATAATTAATCATAATGTATGATAGGATTATTCAGTAAAATTAGTTAAATCAATTTGAATTAATAAAATTAACCTAGCTAATGATTTTTTCGATTAACTAATCATCCACTATGACGTAAATATTATAGTATAATTAGTTCAAAAAACTCTTCTTCTTCCTAGCACACAAACTCATCCCCTTAAGTGTGTGTGTGCAAGTTTACTCAGCTTTAGGATTCACCAAAATATATGATTAACTAAAGAAAGCTAAAAGGTACATAAAGATTGAAAAAATAGACTTTAAACCTTATCTACCCAATAATGAACTTATCAATGTTGTAAGTGAACAATTGATGTGAAATGTTAGTAAGCATGCAAAAATAGATATGCAATAAACTAAAATTTTAGGGGATAACATAGTAAGAAATCCAGACATAAAAGTAATTTGAGGACAATACAAAATTTAAGCATAAAGGAAATTTGCTAATATATAAATAAAACACATAAACAAACACTACACACACATTCTTTTATAAGAATAATAAAAGGTACATAAAACATATGTTGAACACAAAATAACATATAACATAACATTAAACATAACTCATACATGGGTTGCCTCCCAAAAGCCTAAGTTTAAAGTCTTCAACCAGACATGCAAAAATTTTCCATTTGGCTAAAGTGAATGATTGATACGCTTCAATTAGGTCCTTTAGTATCTCTTTCCTTCTCCATAGGATTAACTTCAAAGTTACTAGGTAAGGATCCTTTGGGCCTACTACTCAAAAAAATTATAAGCTCACTTAATTGAGTTTCCAAGTTTTTAATTGAGTAGCTTGGTTCTATAATTGAGTTCCCAATTGCATGACCATATCTTCTAGTGGTCTTTCTAGTTCCATACTAATTTCCTTGATTAAATCTAGAAGGATAAGCTAGTCTTGAAAGTTTATTAGCCTGATTTTGATTATTCTAATTTGCTCCTTGATTATTTTGACCATAATTCTATTGATATTCACCATTATTATTTGACCAATGAAAATTAGGATGATTCCTTTAACCTGGATAATATATATTTTTAATAGGGATTATTTTATCTTCAAACCAAATTTATATTTTCAATCCCTTAGATATTATTCTCTTCCATTGAGATTTTATCTTCCAAATTTAAAGATGAATCAAAATTTAAGCTTAAAGTGCTGAACTTGTTTGATGTTGATGCAACTTGTGCATTTAAAATGTATAAATAAATCATTTTCATATACTCATGCCTCTCTCTTAGGATTCACCCTATCAGCAGGCCATAATAAGTTATTTGTTTCCATTTCCTTAATTAATTCATAAGCATCCTCAAAAATCATTGACATCAAAGAACCTCCAATTGCAGCATCAATTATGGCTCTAAAGGACCCTACCAATCCATTGTACAAAGTTTAAACTATTAACAAATCAGGTAACGCAAGGTGAGGGAACTTTTTAAACATCTCCATAAATTTCTCCCAACTCTCATAAATTGATTCTCCTTCTAACTGAGTAAAATAAGTAATATCATTTCTAAGTTTGGAAGTCTTAAAAGGTGGGAAGTACTTTCCTAGAAATTTATGGGCCAACTCATTCAATATGATAATAGAGCCGTAAGGTAAAAAAATTAATCATATTTTTCACTTGTATCTTAGAAAAAAGGCAAACAATATAAGTATAATGGCATCATCACTAACACTATTATACTTAATTTTGCACAAATTTCCAAGAAATTTGCTAAATATAGGATAGGATCTTCAATGGGAGTTCCCCCAAACTGAGAATTTTATACAATCTAAATGATTGTAGGTTTTGATTTAAAGAATTTAGCTTGGAATGCAGGTTTATTTTTGCTCTGACGAATTTCTTCTACCTTAGAATTTACAAAATTCTTAAGAGGTTTAGAATGATCTAAGTCTTACACAAGATTAGCCATTTTTTTTAAATTGTTTTAGTTGTTCTAATTTTATAAAGGGTTCTCTCAATTTTTAAATATGTAATGGTTCCTTTCTATAGCCTCTAAGCATGCAATAGAAATTGTTCAATTAGTAAAATAAAATAAAAGAATAAAATAATATAGTAGGAATAATTATGCAATTGATTCAATAATATATAATATTTTGTAAATAAATTAAATCTTCCCCTGAAATGGTGCCAAAAACTTGTTTGGGGTGGTGGAGTAACCTAAGTAATTACAAATCTAATTTAGGGCTCTATCAATCCCTAAATAATACATAGGTTTTCTTCAATATAAAAATTATAAAATCCCCACTTAATATAAGAAAGTATACAAGCTGAATCATGTAATATAGTGATAAATTAGAGTATCGATCCCATGATGAAGAATTTTACTTGCAAATACTAGTACTATCTAATACAATCACAATAATTATCTGGCTCAAAATAAATAAGTTTTAGTGGAGATTTAATCACTTAATTTTAAATTAAAAAAATTAAATCAACCATTATTTGGATAAAATGTTTTGGATTCATGGAATATAAATATAATATGTTTCCTAATGATTTTTTATTATATTGATGTTATTCAAAGCAGACGCATCACCAATTACTCCGTTAAGCTTGAAGAGATAAAGGAAAGATTAAACCTTCCAACCTAAATATGCTAAACTCACATAGTATGTCACCCTATGAAAATCCTAGAAGAGTAAGTAAAGTATGAACTGTTAAAACCCCCTAATTATAATTTATCATATAAATTTGGTATATGTCAAGCACTATGCCTATACTTGCATCAAACCAATCCAATATACATGATTGTGCCTGTTTTCCTATTCCTAGGCACCATATTACACTAGATATTAACTACACATATGGTCATTATGTATGTTAAATGAAGACCTGGTGTATTGAAAATATTATTAAGTTATTGATAAAGAGATTTTGTTAGTACCCCACAATCTATTTATACCATCAATAAAAAATTAGAGAATTTAGCTAGACAAGAAGAATAAATAAAGCAAACTCATTTTCATTAATTGCATAAAAGAAAGAAAGTAAAGAAGAAAATATATTATTGGATGGGTTCAATGGCCTCCTCTATACTCCTTCATAAACTTATAGAATTGCTTCCAAAAACATTGACCAAACACTATTATAAGGTGGATCTAGTGCTAACTAAACTCTCTTAGTTTCACTCCTAAAGAACTTATAAAGAAAAACTATTAATATTAAAATTAACTAAGTGAATGAACTCTCTGGCTAATATTTTAAATAAACTATTTATAGAAAAACACTAAAAATGAACTCTAGCACTGCAATAGATTAGGCCCTTGCATCGTGGCATCGATAAAATGAACTAATACCATAGCACTGAATAATTTCCTCCTCTATGGCGCATACTAATATGGACCTATTGTTCAATGAATCAATGCATCGCTTTGCTGGCAAATAATGTTATCGTCAATTATAATTGTATTGTTACGGTGCTACTAAAGGTTGAGTGTTGTGGCACTCCATTCATCTTGGTGGTACTGGAAATTGGTGCAATAGTAGTATATAGATAGGGATTGGGCTTTATTGCATTGACTCCTCCAACACCGTGGTGCTATAAAATGGACATTGGGCACCACCATGTCTATAATAGGTACTTCAACAATATTAATGATGATGATGCGACATTGTATAATGCTTGAAATTTTATGCCTTTCCATAATTTTTCTTGCATAACATATCTAAAATAACATGGTTTCACTAGTAATTTAACGTATATGATATAATATTATTTACACTCCATCTAACAGGGACTTAAACTTCCTCTTTCTTTTAAACAAAGAGGCAAGAATTAATTGTTTGGAGAATGGAGGGGTAGAGAGTTTCCAATTCTTATGATGCTTTATACTCCCTATTAATAGAAAATGGATGAAAAGGACTTCCACCAAACAACAGAGAAAATGACTTCCCATTTAATGCTGCCTCAATTATAAGGATCATCAATATTTCATCCTCTAACAGCTTGGACTTCTCGGCCTTTCATCTTAGACAACAATTCTTATTTTGGTGTTGAGATTTAGTGATTTGGTTATAAATTTAGGATGATCACATCTTAAACATTTTATATAGAGGATAAATAATATCTTTTATTTTTTCTATTAATAATAGATTGTGGGAACATCAGTCTAGTGAGGATTAAGGGTTTGCTAGCTATGGGAGTAGCTATAAATCCATTCCCAATTATGACTTCCATAGGTGGTATGACTTTAGAAGTGCGAGCAATAAAATGCAGTTTAATGATAGTCAAAACTATGTATTCTACTTTGGATCCGAATTTAATCATATTAGCTTAATTTGATTAGAAGTTTTGCTAAAAAAGATATTCAAGTTATTCAAAAAGTTTAAGGTTAGTTTGACAGCCATTTCTTTCTATAATTGAAGAAAAATTATGTATCAATAATTAATCTCAACAACTCCAATTGAAAAGCTAAATTTAAGAATAAATTGAACTGAATCTATCCATTCATTAATGTAAGTTTTAAATGATTGAAATAATAGGGCACCTAGGGCTTGGTATGAGAGGTTAAGTACTTTCCTATTAGAAAGATCTTTTGTTAAAGGAAGTGTGGATAACAATCTCATCTTGAAAAGGATAGGAGATGACATACTCATTATTCAAATATATATTGATAATATTTTGTTTGGATCTACCAATAAAAATCTTTGTGATGATTTTTCAAAAGCAATGAGTAGTGAATTTGAAATGAGTTTGAAGGGAGACTTGAGTTACTTTCTTGGTTTTATCATAAAGCATAATGAGGATGGAACATTTCTTAGCCAATTGAAGTATATTAAGGACATCTTCAAGAAATATGAGTAAGTACACCAATAAGTTCTTCAATATAGTTAGATAAGGACCCTAAGGAAAAAATTGTTGATAAAAAGAAACTTAGAGGAATAATTGGATCATTGCTTTACTTGACTACTAACAGACCAGATATCATATTTAGTGTTTATTTGTATACTAGATTTAAAGATGATTCAAAAGAATCACATCTAATTGTTGTTAAGAGAATTTTTATATATCTTTTAGGAACTCAAAACATAGGAATTTGATATCATAAGCACATCTCTTCTTTTGAAATCATTGGATATTTTGATTCAGATTTTGCAGGATGTAGGGTTGATCAGAAAAGTACTTCTAGAACTTGTAAATTTATAAGAAACTCTTTAATTTACTGGTTTAGTAGAAAATAGAATTTAGTAGCCCTTTCTACTACTAAAGTAGAATACATTGCCTTAGGTAGATATGTGGCACAAGTTCTAATGTTAAAACAACAATTTATTGACTTAGGATTTTTAATTAGCACTATTCTAATTTTTTGTGATAATACAAGTGCCATATACATTTCAAAGAATCCTATTCAACATTTTAGAACCAAGTATATTGATATAAGGCATCACTTCATTAGAGATCATGTGGCTGAAGAAGAAATTGAATTGCATCATGTTGCTTGTGAGAATTAACTTACATATATTTTCACAAAACCACTTGCTTTTGAAATATTTAGTACTTTAAGAACCAGATTAGGTGTGATTGATCTTAATGCTTAAAATTGAATTTCTGCAAATTGAATATTTAATGTATTGATGTGTTTTTTTTTCTCTTTTTATTTATTTGTTAGTGTTTGTTTGATTCATTAGTTGTGTTTGTTTCTCTTTAATTAGTATTTTATTATTAGTTTTACTTTTCATTATAGTCATCAAATCTTGAGTGATTAATTTTTAAAAGTTTTTTTATTTATCATGTCTTATTTTAATTATTTTCTTCATATTGTATGATTTTTTTTGTGATGTATGAATTATGTAGTGTGTACATGATATTTTTTGAGTTGAGCATGCAAGACTAAAATTTTTAATGCATACCATACTGTACGTTGGCATTATTGTCCTTACTTTTTTTTTCATCTGTAAAATTAGGGATGATTTTCCAAAAAGTCAGTTAGTGGTCATAGATCATACGTACGAAATCATATTTCATTTATACGATTCTGTTGTTAGTTTCTCAGGTGGATGAACCTAATTGTTGGAAATGATCTTTAATATTTTGATCTTCCCGGATGAAGAGGTGTTCATCTGTAAGATTGTATGGTCAAAATGCCTGTACGAAATGATGCCTTAGGAATGGTGTTTAATGAAATGCCATTTCATTTTTGGCCATTTCTATTCCTATATATGAACTATTTTTTGTCCAGTATGATTTTAAAATCATATGTACAATCAAAATTTTGTATTGTATGATAGGTCATTTTTCTTTAAATTGAAAGGTCATGGATGGTTTTTTCTTCACATTCTCATTCGATCTTAAACCATCTTGAGTCCAAGCTTTATGGATGGCCAGTAGTAGCAAACATCCTTGTACTTCCAAGGGCTCAACATGTCACTCTGTTAGAGACGAGAACTTTGTTTCTAAGGAAAATGAGGAAGCCTTTCATCATTTCATTTTAGCCAAGATTACCCCCCTCTCAACTCCTTATTTAAAGTGACATAAATTTCTCTGTTATGGCACTTTAGTCCTTAACTAAATTTT